GATAAAAATAATTTATATTTTGGGCTTTTAAAACAGGGACTATACTTACAGAAATGTGGGCTATAGAATCAGCTATTTGTGAAGAGTTATGTAGTTACTTGCTGTTGCATTTTTTACAGTTACAGCTGCAGCTGCGATTGCCAACATTGTGAAAAGTTCCCTTGGGCCAGTTGGTTTGGATAAAATGTTAGTGGATGATATTGGTGTAAGTAGACGTATGTCTTTGTCTTAAACTGTAAAGAAAAGGTCTCTGCTTGCTTTCTCTCAAATTCACTCTGATTTATCTAGTAGGGACCTGTTCAGTCTGTTCCTGTCTAAAATGTTGTTCATGGTCTTTATGCATTTAGCAATTTGACCTCTTTAGTATGACTATGGAGGAGCACTCATTTTTTTACTCTAATGTAATAAAAGCCTTAGTCTGTCTGTCTGTCCATAACAGTTTATTTGCACTTTGATTGGTTGTCTTGGAAGCCAATTGGAGTGCTCTGCACAGACAAACACACAGGACAGAGTGGAGGCCTGACGCCATGATAGCAGGGACTGAGGGGCTGGAGTGGGGGGGGTGAGGTCAGCAGTGCTGGCCTGGCTTCTGCCCCCCAGCTGTGCTCCTTGGAGGCAGTGGCGGTGTGGAGTGCTGGTGGTGCAGTGCTGGCCTCGCCGCCCCCCCCCATCCAAGGGGTGGCCATGCCCCCCACCCCCCGCACAGACAGGAGCTGCGGGGGGCGCCACAGGGCTGGAGGTGGAGCACTGTGGGGTACTGGGTGGCAGCACTCCTTCCCCCCATCATCCATGACAGGCAGTTTGCTACTTTTTAAATAATAGCTTTGATTATAAGTTACAGCTAACTTTTAATCCATGATGTGAATTAGATGCATCCTCTAACAAATCAAAATGTGGGCTCTGCCTACCTCAGATTCCAAAGGAAAGGTCAGGTTTTGTGTGCTTCCCATTTGACTACCACTTCCTCGATTTACAGATTAAGTGGCTATGCTTATGGGATAAAGAAAAAAGTGCCAGAGTCTGAAGGAAAAGATTGCAAATATCTTTTTTCCTATATGAAATGGCAGAACATTATACAAAAAGATTTTGAATAACAAATAAATTACATAGTTTGTTTAGTATTGCTAAGAATGTGGGTTTATTAACTGTGTACCCAGTGGTTATACATCCCTTGGTCTATGTGTTGTAGCTCCTGCTGCCCCTC